CCCACACCGTGAGCGTGTGCAGTGGCTCTCTCCAATTTTCCGCCTCGAATCCGACTTCTCGTCCCCAGAACGCCATCCGGCCCCGGCCGAGCGGAACTGATCTCGCCTCCCAGAGTCCCCTGAGCGCCTAACGAGATCCTGACTGGAGCCCGGCGTTAAACAGCCTTCACGGCGGGTGATGGGTCTTGATTTGCTGGATGCATCCAGCTGAGTCACTGTCCCCAAACAATATGAGAAATAGCAGCGCCTCCAGATCCACGGGGCCAGTTCCACGGCCGCTCCCCGCAAGCAGCCCCCCAGGAAGGTCCTGCTTAGAAACAGAGCGGGGACGGCCTCCCTAGACAGAGACGCTGCTCGGTGCCAGGCCCTGCACAGGATGGGGGTGACGAGCGGGGAAATCGAGGCACGGAGAGCAAGGGGCCCTGCCAAGGCCACGCGGGAGGGAAGGCAGACCTGGGTCGAGGAACGGGGCCGTCTCCCTGATGCTCAGAGGGACCCGGCTCTGCATCCCACGGCGAGCGTGTGGGGGTCTGTCTGCACCCTAGACTGTCTGGGGCGACTGCAGCTTCCTCACGTGGCCCCACGGCCCCCGCGACAAGGCTCAGAGCCCCTTCTGCGCAGCTGTGTCTGTGACTCTCGGCAGGGAACCTGGTGGGTAGACGCCTGCATCAAACCCTGCCCTGCCTGGTGTTGGGCCATGTGACCTCTCCTTCCCTCAGCTTTCCCATCTGTAAAGTGGGCATCCTAACAGCCGGGCCTCGGTTACCCACGTGGCGTGTTCAGAATGCTGTCTGGACTTAGTGCCGGGAGCTACCACCCTCACAGCTACCTCCCGCAGGGCGACCAACCGACAACACACGGCTTCCGTTCCCCTGCACAGGCACCCCTTCACACCTTTCACACCTGCTGCTGCGGGCGGGGGGAGGGGGGCGGGAGCATGGCAGCCCGCTTTCCCCGGGGACAAGAGCCACCTCTCTCGGAGCCTCAGTGTTCTCATCTGTAAGGTGGGAGAACAATGGGGAAACATCTGCCTCGCAGGCTCCGTATCAGGACCTCAGCAGAGTGACCTGTCGTGGGGGCCCTGTGGCTGAGGGTGAGACCAGCCCCTGAGGGACAGCGAGCCCGCGAAGTCCAGCACGGCCTTGCCTCGAGAGTCTGGAGGCAGAGCCCATACATGGGTCCCGGGGACGCAGGGTGCTGGGGATCAGTCCTTCTGGTCTGACTCGGGGTGTGCGGCTCCGGGGGTGCGGGTCTGGTCTCCAGCGGCCGCTCGGCTGCACCCTGTTCCCTGGGGCTTAGCCCCGGGCTGTACCTCTGGCCCCTCGCTCCTCCTCAACCCCCCTCCTGAGCCCGGGGCAGCAAGCGCCAGCGTCCGTTACCAAGTTTAGCAGGTGCTCCTCTGTGCCGGCTGTGCCCGTCGTGTTCACCCGCCCCGGGGAGGCGGACGGGCAGCCACGCGTCTCTGGGGAGAGGCAGGAGGGGGCTCTCGGAGCAGACCACGTGCACACAGCCTCCGACACGCGGCGCCGGACATGTCAGGTAGCGAGTGCAGGGCACTGAGCGTCGCCGGGGAGGGACTCAGGAGGCTGGCTCTCCGCTCCCAGAGGGAAGTGGCTCAGGGCTGGGCCCACGCGGTGCCAGCAGACAGCTTGTCAGGGGAGGGGACGGGGCTCCGTCTGTCACACTCCAGAAGGAAGCTCGGAGCAGGGTCCTGGAGGCGCGTTAATACACCGGAACCCTGGATGCCTGCGTCCCCTCGACGCCACGGCCCCATCTCAGAATCTGAGCCACGCAGGCGCCGTGAGGGTGCCCGTCCCTGAGAAGCACCGGGGGCCTGGAGGGAGGGGACGGCCCAGGCATCTCCCAGGAAGGAAGGCCGCGGCCTGGGAGAGGACAACTTTGGTGTGAAGCTTACGGAAAGAGGCATAGATGGGAACTGAGGCCCGCGAGACGCAAAAGGTGGGGGGGCCCGCGCCCCCTCCCCCAGAGCTGTGAGCTGCCAGCCCAGACCTTGCTTCCCTTGCTTGCTGAACATCGAGGGCACGGAGCGCGATTAGGTACCAAGCGGTGCGTGTCAGTTCACCCGCACCGGTCAGGGCGTGCTGGGGTCTGCTGCGCGAACACACGATCTTTCTGTTCTGGCTACATACCCAGCGCACCTTAGCAGAGGAGCTGGGGTCCCTCCCCCTCGGGCTGACACGGGCTCTGTCTGGCTCTCACCATTCCTGCGGCGGCACAGAGTGAGGTGCCAGCAGTTACAGGCTTCTACCGAGAAATGACACGTGGTACTTCTGCCCACATTTCACGGATCAAAGTCGGTCCCGCGGCATCGCCCCCTCCCTAAAGGGGGCGCGAAGGTACAATGATCCCAGAGGAGTGTCCAGAGGGAGAGAAGCAGAACGTGTGGGCAATCCTCAAGCGAACCCCCCTCTTACACAGGTGCAGCGAATCCCAGTCCACAAACGTACAAGTGACATTCTAGAATTTCCTACTTGGCCCGATTCTGCTGAGTGGGAGGAAGAGTTCACCTCCGTCCGCCTGGTGCGTGGATCGGGTCAGGTTCCCAGTGTCGGGATGTCCAGGGAGGGGGAGCTTCAGTGCCATTTGTAATGGGCTGGATTGTGTCCCCCCCCCAATTCCCATGGTGGAGCCCTAACACCCAGCACCTCTGAATGTGACTGTATTTGGAGACAAGGACTTTAAGAGCCGATTAAGGTAAAATAAAGCCATTGGAGTGAGTCCCACATCCCTCGGGCTTGGAGACCCCACTGCCCATGGTCTTCCCCCCTAAGCTCGCGAGGGCGCCATCTCGTCGGGAGCCCGGCCTTGCCCACGCCCGGTCCCCAGCGCTCACGGACGCACAGACCTGACTCCCCAGGGAATCCCCACCCGCTTCCTTCCACAAGCCCCTGCTGCCTTCTGTAACCCAAGGCGTTCGGCACAGAGTCAGGAGGTCACCCACCTCCTGGGGGGGGGGGGCTTCCCTGGGCAAGGAAGGACAGGACCCAACTCCCACTGACCCGGAAGGGAAAAGAAGGTGAAGTTCGGGGCGCCTGGGTGGCTCAGTCGGTTGAGCGTCCGACTTTCGCTTAGGTCATGATCTCACGGTTCGTGGGTTCGAGCCCCGCGTCGGGCTCTGTGCTGACGGCTCGGAGCCTGGAGCTGCCTCGGATTCTGTGTCTCCCTCTCTCTCTGCCCCTCCCCTGCTCGTTCTCTGTCGCTGTCTCTCAAAAACAAACTTTCAAATAAAAAAATAACTCGGGGATTTTTTCTACAATGGAAGAGGAGGAGGGACATATTGGAGGACGCTATTAGTCTCTGCCAGAAGACGGCAGGACTAATTAAAACCAATTAAGGCCGCGTGCCCCTGTAATTCCGCTTGCACGAGCTGCCCAAAGCATATTTATAAGGATTTTTGCCACTGCGCTGTCTGTTGTCGCAAAACAGATCAGGAACGAAGTCCATCCCGGGGGACTGGTTAAATAAATTGCTGTGTCTCCAGAACGTCTGCAGTGGCCAGTGCGAAGCCGCCTCCCGCCTGGCGTGGGATGATCCCAAGGTCAATGTCAGGGAGGAAAAGCCGACCCACAAACGTCTACGTTCCCAGGACGGGGGTAAGACACGCGGGGGCCTCTGGAAGGTGGTGAGGCCCGGCCTGGGTGGTGCTGCTGGGGAAGGAGGGGGGGGGGGGGAGGGGGGGGGGGGGGGGCTGAAGGTCGAGGTAGGGAGGCGATCACAGGCCGCTGGACCCCTCTCCGCACCGCCCACGTTCTGTGTGTGTGTGGTTTCGCCACGTAGGTGTTTTACGTATTAAACCATGAACTAACTTCTAAGATCAGGACGGCAAAGCTCCTGCCTCTTTTCTTCTGTTGGTGCCTCCCCGTTGCCAAGGCTGTTGACTCCGCCACCGCCCGGGCGAACCCTGGTGGCCAGGCCGGCATCTCAGGCGGCCCAGGCGTCCAAGGCACCCAACGCGGCTCTGGATTCGCGCCCGGTCTTGCCGGCCCCCAGGACTTGCGCTGCTCGGGGACCCCGCAGGCCCCCTCCCCCGCGCCCACCAGGCTTCCAGGAAAGCTGTGAGAAGGGACCTCCTGGCAGCCCTGCGCCCCCTTGGGCCCGAGGGTCCGCTCCCAGGCTGAGCCGTGGCGCCCACAGACGGCCCTCTGGGGCCTGGATCCGGGCGCCCTGGCTGTCCTGCCACGGAAGGGGGCTGCCAGGCCCGGCCCTCAGCACCCCGGGGCCCCGCTGAGCCCTCCCCTCTGGCAGCGGGAGTCACACGACTGGCAACGCCCCTGTCTCCTGCCTCCTCACCCCCATTTTACAGACGCTGAGCTGGAGGCGGGGGAGGGGAGGCGGCCGGTCCGAGACGGCAGAGCAGGAGCGGAGAAACCACGGGGACCGTGGGGCTCGCCCCAGGCCCCTCACTCCCCGCCTTCAATCTGTCTCATGTCCACGTCCCCTGCTCACAAAGGGGCCGGGGGCCCGGGGGTCGGATTTCCCCCCACTCCCCCCGCACCGGCCCGTGCACTGTCCGTGTCCCTTGACTGAGCACACGAAGGGGCCCGCAGCCCCCCGGGGCCCGGGACGCAGGGCCCGCCAGGAGCTGGGTGCCACCCAGGTTCTCAGCGCCACCCTTGGGCCCCTGAACGAACCGGCCGCGCCTGCAGGGCCTTCGCAGCGACTCCTTATGCTCCTTTCATTTTTTTATTAAAAAATAGATGCAGAAAATATACACGCTTCAGCCCGCCCGCCAGAGTGGGCTCTGAGGAGGCCAAAGTGCCATGGGGAGGGGCAGCGGGCCGGGGAAGGCCAGACTCGTGCTGGGCGTGTGGGCCTCGGAGAAAGGAGGTGCCCTCGGCAGCCCTGGGAGACCGGAATCTGCGCCACATGGGCGAGCAGGGTGGGGGCCGATGGAACAGGGAGGTGACCCCCTCTCCGCCCCCCCCCCCAGGCTAGAACAGAGGTGGCCAAAGGCAACTGGGCTTGGAGAGGGCAGGACAGGGCCTGCTCGGGGGCCACAGCCCCCCTGCCCCAGGGACTTTGCACGCCCTGGCCCTGCCTCCCGTCTGCCCTGGGGCCACACTCAGGCATTGATGGCCTTCCAGCGCTCGCTGTCTGTGCTGTTGATGCTGCCGGTGTGGCAGGGCATGGAGGCCACGTCGTCCAGGTAGGCCACGCCGCCGGCCGAGTCGAACTGTGTACTGGCGGCCCCCGCCGCCTCGGGCCCCTCCCGCCGGGCCACCGCGTAGGGCTGGGGCAGGTGCACATCCGGCTCCTCGGTCTCGTCCACTTGGCATTTGTAGGAGAAGAGGATCTTGGGCTCCGAGCTAGGGGGGAGGACAGGGGGCCCGGAAGCCGCACCGTAGGGTCAGGAGAGGCCTCCCTTGCTGGGCGCTGAGGCCCTGGCCAGGGGCTGAGACGTGCGCAGGGCTGCCCTGGTGCCACCCGGGAGGCCCCGGAGACCGGACTCTGGCGCCGACGGGACCTGTTTTAACACTCAGCGCGCACGGGGGCCTGGGCGAGGGCTTCTGCGCCCGTTTCTGCACAACTCGGACCTCAGGAGGCTCTTAGCAGGCGGTACACAGACCCGGGGTGCTCAGCAAACACCAGCTCCGCGACACCCCCCTGCACACGCCCTGTCCCTCAGCCAGCGAGACAGCTCGGATGGGGCGCCGCTGCCCCCGGGTCACAAAGAGGAGCCCGGGGCCGGGGTCTCACCTGGCCGCTCTCCCCCACCCGGACGCCCTCTCCCGGCTTTACCCCCTCCGGTGCCCTCAAACCTGGCAGGCGGGGGGACAGCGCCAGCCCTGGGGCCACACCAGAGGCCCCGGGGCCAAGCCTCCACCCCACACGCCCTCGGCACCCCGACTCCCTGACCTGGGCGCCCCAATGCACCCTCCCCTCGCCCCGCAACACGCCGGCCTCCCCCGACCCCGCGCCTCTCCCCAGCCGCTCCCGGCTTGAATCCGCCAGCGCGGCGACTTGCGTCTCCTCTGCCCCCTGATGCGACCGGCAGCTGTCGCGGTGCCGGGCATACAGTAGGTATTCAATGAATGCATGCTGCGAGAATGAGCTCATCTACTGCAGAGCGAGAAGCAGCAAGTGTGGAACACAGCCGCTCTCTTACGGGGGGAGAGCATGTGTCTGCGTGTTGTATACATAACGTGTAGTGTGTATGCACGTGTGTATATGTACGCACGTGTGCACGCGCGTGTAGGTTTATATATACACACTTCGGTCCTTCCCGGTCAGGACACCGCAGCGATGCTCAGGCGCAGGGAGCTGGAGGCGCAGTTCCGCCGGCAGCCACGTGGGGGAGCTCACGGCCCTCAAACCACCAGGTGCGGGGCGAGCAGGGCCGCCCACCACCCCGGCCGCACGCCCCGCCCCGCCCCGCCCCGCCCCCGTCCCGGCGGGAAGACTCACCCGAAGAAGCCCCGGAGGAAGGCCACGTAGATGAGGGGCGCAAAGAAGCTGAAGTAGAGAAACGTGGTGGCATCGACACAGCTGCCGGGCGGGAGGTGCGGGTCAGGGAGGGGCCCCCTCTGGGTGGCCTGTCGGCTGGCCCCCCCCCGCCCCGCCCCTGCCGGCCCTCGCCCCCCGCCCCGCGCCCCGCCCCACCTACCAGAGCCCCTCGATGATGTCGGCGCAGAGCAGCGCGCTTCCCAGCCCCTGCAGCAAGTTGAGCAGCGCCAGGATGCCCGCGTACACGTAGAAGCTTCGCCGGGCTGGGGGGGCGGGGCCGTGAGGTCCTGCCCTGGCCCTCCACCCTCCGTCCCCGGCGTGTCCCCTGAGACCCCTCGCGCCCCAGGAGGACGCCCTCCCTGTCACCCCCGGCCCCGACCCGGCCCTGCCCCAGAGCCGCCCCCAGCTGCTCACAAGGCAGGGAGATGCGCTCCTTCAGCGGGGTCTTGGGGAGAACGACCACCAGAGAGTAGACCTGTGGAGACGAGCCCGGCTGAGAAGGCTGCGGGGGCACCACAACCCAGACCTGCGGCCTCAGCTCCCAGGCTCCTCTGGCCACCCCAGGGTGCCGAGGCCGGGAAGGGGGGAGGGCGCCCTCGGCCTCACCAGGAAGAAGAAGCAGGAGCTGACCAGCCAGAACTGGCGGCCGCCGTGCCCGTAGATGTTGAAGTCCTCGGCGGACAGGTGGGCATCGGGGTACAGGATCTCTAGCGTCCCCTGCAGGGGCAGGCGGGGGAGGGTCTCGGTCTCCGGCCGCCTGGGAAGCCCCCTCCCTGGGGTCCCTCCTACAAAGCCCCCGGAGCTCTCCACCGCCCCAAGCCCAGCTCCCCAGGCCGGCCCTCAGACTTCCCCGCTCTCGCCCGCTCCCTGCCCGCCCGGCGTGGGGGACAGACCCGGCGAGAGGTAGCCCCCGCCAGATCTAAGGCCGAGTCTCCGGGTGTACAGCTCTCAGGCCGGGCTGCTGCTTCCAACAGCAGGCTCTGGGCCTCCTCCCTGCCCCTCACCCCTGCCCCGACCTGCTGGGGCAGGGGCACAACCTGCCTTGGTAACAAGCACCCCAAATGATTCCGGAGGCGCGTGTAAAGTGACAACACCGCACCTGATCAACACTCAAACCCTGACCCGGACTCAGGAGGCGGCGGGCACGCGGCCTTCACGATGCCTGGCCTCCTCCAGGGAGCCCTCGAGCTGCACCTGCCCTACCTCCCCTCTTACCTGGGTGACGGAGTAGGCCAGGGACAGCACCGTGGTGATGGCCAGCACCCGCTTGATGCTTGACTTGCTCTCCAGGTGGCCTGGAAGAGACGCGCCGGGCGGTGAGCGGGAGCCACCAGCCCTGGGACCGTGGCTGTGCTGGGGTCGGCGCCCGCTAGGGAGGGACAGGGAGGGCACTGGCCCCAGCTGCACACGCACCAAAGGCAAGGCCCAGGATGACCACACTCAGCTCGATGGCCAACAGGAAGAAGCGGGTAATCTCCCACAGGATCTGGACACAGAGTGGGCACAGCGTCAGCCTGGGGGGGCCCAGCCCCCCCAGTGCCCCCCCAGCACTCCCACCCTTGGCAGCGGGCCCGGCCACACCTTATCAGCAACGGTGGCAGCGTCCGAGGTGCTGACTGTCATGGAGACCACGGCCCGGGCGATGCCCACCAGCGCCACTATGAACACCTGGTGGGTGAGAGCGGGGGTGGGGGGTGCCGTTATGGGGTCAGGGAGCAGGACCTCTGGGACCACAACCCCACACCCGCCTCGACAGGAGCCTTCCATCCTCGAGAGCCGAAGGAGTCCGCGCTAAAGGGGTCAGGGGTGGGGTGCAGGGGGGTGGCGAAATCCTCCACTGCTGGTGACCTCCGGCCCGGCCCTTCCCTCTCCGGCCTCAGTTTCCGAGCTACATCGGCAGCCTCAGAAAGGTTAGAAGGGGTGACGGGGCGGAGCCTCGCTGCCTCCTGCCTCTGTGGCCTCAGGCAAGGAAGTGCACCTTCGTGCCTCAGTTTCTCCGTCTACGAAATGGGGGTAAACCTAGCACGTACTGTATTTGATGGCTGGGAGGAGAGTAAGGGGGTAAGTAAACGTAGCGGAAGCGTGCGTGGCACCCAGGGAGGGCTAGGCGCACACTGGCCGCGGGCACGGTCACATTGGCCGTTTTGTTTCTAAGACACGGGATAGGAGGGTGCAGGGGAGAGACATCAGAAACCTCCGGGAAGGCCGCTGCACCGGCAGGTTCTGCACAAGTGCCCGTGCTCAGCGTTCGTGGATTTTGTCAGCCCGGGATCCCTCCCTCCCTCTGGCAACAGCCTCCTGCCGTCCTCGCTGCTCACGTGGTTTGGCGGGGGGGGTGAGCTGACCAAACCCCTGCTGGCTGCAGGGACTGGGCTGTAGCGCAGGGCTGGGCATTCAGCATGTGCCATTCCCTGATTTGGGGATGGGGTGGGGGGAACCCAGGGGAGCCTAGTGAAAGGCACACCCACAACCTTGACCTCGGGTGCAGCCACTGGGAAAGGAAGCTTGTCAGCTTCTCAGTCCCTACTTCCCTCCAGCCTCAGTGAGTTTAACTGTGGTTTTCGGATACATACGAACAGCACAGTCCAGGTGCAGGGATGCCTGGGTGGCCCCGTCAGGTAAGCGTCAGAATCAGGGCTTCCACTCGGGTCGTGATCTCGCAGTTCATGGGTTTGAGCCCCAAGTCCGGCTCTGCGCGGACAGTGAGGGGCCTGCTTGGGATTCTCTCTCCCTTTCTCTCCACCCCCTCCCCACTTCCCGCCGCACACAAACATGTGCTCTCTCTATCTCTCTCTCTCTCAAAATAAACAAACCTGAGAAAAAGAAGAACCCAGATACAGACACAGTCTTTCCTTTGTGCCACAAAGCTGTGTCAAAGCCTTGGGAAGGCTGACACCCATTACGGGCACACTGCCGTGCGCCTACTGTATCCCGGGCTCCCACTGGGCTAGGGCTATGCGCGCTGTCTTCTCCAGTGCTCACAGGAGTGCCCCAAGGTAAGGCAGATCCAGCACACATGTGAGAAGGAGGGCACTGAGGCAGAGAGGCCGAGCCGCCGGTCCAAGGTCATTCAGCACAGCTGGGGTTCAGAGGTAGCCTGAGCTGACTCACCACTGTCTCCTGAGCTTTCTAGAACAGAGTCCCCAGGAATAAGAGGGCGGGGCTGAGTCCCCTGTCACCGCCTCGTGTTCCTGGGCACTGGCCCTGGGTCCCTTCTGCCTGCCTGCTCCCCCAGAGAGGGCATCGGTAAGTGATGCCGTAAGTAAGTGCTTTGCTGTTGAATAAACACAGTACCGAGTCAGAGAGGCAGCGGGAGACCACAGAAAGCAGGCCTCAATGCCCACCCCTGCCCACCACCGCCTCACAGAGGAGGGGGCTCCAGTCAGCCTGCAACCCTTGGGGCCTCCACCAACAGCCTCCAGGGTTCCCCCCAGCCTCCCCTGCGCCTGCCTGCCCGCTGGCAACTTCTCTGCCTGGGAAGCTCTGAGCCAGGCCATAAAGAGGGGGAGCAGGGAGCCACTCAGCTCTCAGGTAGTGGCAGCAAAGAGGCAGAGAAATGCGAGGATTCCAGTCAGTTGGGCCTGAGCCCTGAAGGATGTGAGCTAGACAGCCAGCACCTGGGGCCTGCACCTGGAACCCACACCTGGGGCCCACACCTGGAACTCACACCTGGAACCCACACCTGGAACCTGCACATGGAACCTGCACCTGGAACTCGCACCTGGAACCCACACCTGGAACCCGCACCTGGGGCTGCCTTCTCAACCACAGACAGCCCTGCTACCTCTCCCGTGGCGGCCCACACCAAGACCACTGATGAGAATTCAGGTTTGCCCCACAGCCGGGAAGTCTGCTTCAAAGGGGTCTCACAGTGTGTGTGGATGGATGGATGGATGGACAGACAGACAGATGGAGGTTGCCGTGGGCATTCCGCCCCCCCCCCCCCCCCCCCCCCCCCCCCCCCGCCGAGTATCTCTTCTTCTCTCTACCAACAATTCCCCACTTTTCTCTCAGGGACTGACACACTTTTCAGTCCACACGGTCTGGCTGAGTTGACCCCACACCCCAGCTCCAAAGTGTCCCTTCCCTGCTAGTCACAGCGGCTGGCTCGGGGACACACAGGGACCCAAGGTGGGCTGGTCAGAGGGACTTCCCGGCCCCCCAGCGCCGCCAGTCAGGAAGCCCTCCTGCGCTGACACTGGCAGGGTGTTGGCTCGCAGCTGCTCCTGTATCTCTGACACCAGGCAGGGAGCGCGCGTCCCGATAAGGCCAGAGGAGGGCAGAGATGCAGAGACACAGCGGCCTGACGACACGCGCTAATCCTCTGCATCCAGGCCTGTCCGGAGCCGGCTTTCCTTCCGGAGGCTGTGAGGAATTCCCTCTTTCCCCGCCGCTAAGGTTGGGGTTGGGTTGAACTCACCAGGATATAGAAGGTGATAAAAATGGGGCTGGAGGTGACACGGATCTTGGCCCGAGCGAACGGAAGCTTCCAAAGCAGGAAGATGAAGAACAGCACGTTGGGGACAAGCAGCAGAAGGTCCCAGTACCGGACCCTGCAGGTGGGTACCGAGCCAGCTGCCAGGGAGGGCTCTGCCCCCCGCCGCCCCCCGCGCAGCCCGTCACACGCACGCCTGCACGGCCTTCCCGGGGCACCCCTCCCCATGCACACCCTGTCACACACACGCATGCGCGGCCTGACCGGGGCACCCTCCCCACGCACACCCTGTCACACACACGCATGCGCGGCCTGACCGGGGCACCCTCCCCACGCACACCCTGTCACACACACGCACACACAGCCTGCCCAGGGCACCTTCCCCATGCACACCCTGTCTCACGCACGCACGCACGGCCTGTCCGGGGCACCTTCCCCACGCACACCGTTGCACGCACGGCCTGCCTGGGGCACCCCTCCCCATGCACACCCTGTCGCACGCACACACGCATGCACGGCCTGCCCGGGGCACCCTCCCCATGCACACCCTCTCACATGCACGCACACACGACCTGCCCGGGGCACCCTCCCCATGCACACCCTGTCACACACACGCACGGCCTGCCCAGCAGGGCTGCAGGGCCTCACCTGGAAGTGGCGATATCCTCGTACAGCAGCAGCAGACAGCGGTGCGGCACGCTGATGTTGGGCGCCACCGGCGGGGGCGGGGCTGTGCTCCCGTTGGCCCCCGTCGCCTCCTCCAGGGTGTCCATCCTGCCAGCGGCTGGCCCTGCGGGAGGCAGCGAGAGCCCCCGCGTGAGCAGGCAGGGCCGTGTGGGCCTGGGTCTCTGGTCCCAGCAGGCGGAGGGCACGGGCCGCAGCACAAGCCCCACGCAGGCACCCGGTGTCCCTGACAGCTGAGTGCCACCCCAGGGAGAGCCTTGCCATGAGGCTGGCACAGCAGGGCAAGCTACTCGGCGTGACTTTGGTTCAGCCCCCCAACCCGGGGCCCCGGGAACAGACAGACAGCAGGAGGGCTGGGAGCCAGGGCTCCCGTCCGCTCCGTGCCGGGTGCTGCCCCTGCAGTGCGGGCAGCGGCGTCCACCCCGTGAGGCCGAGTAGGTGACTCAGGCGCCTCCTACAAGCCACACACGCGCGGCCCCAGGAGTCCGCGAGCTGTGCTTCCTCCCTCCGCACAGATGCAGGGCCGACCTCGAGGCGGTCACGCGGCCACTGAACGCCAGAGGGGGGCATTGGGCACACCTCGGCGGACCACAGCCCTGCCCCCTGGAAAGGCAGACGCAACCCCGGGGGGACGCGCGCTGTGCCGGGAAGATGAGCACGAGCTGTCCAGGTGGAGAAGGGGAGGGAAGGGGAGGGAAGGGGAGGGAAGGGGAGGCCCTGCAGAGGGCGTTGCTGGGAGAAACGGGGCAGGGGGGCCCACAGCCAAGCTCCTCCGAATGACAGGTAAGGCTGCAGCCTGGAGGTGCCGCTGGTTTAGGTCCGACTTCAGCTCAGATCTCACAGTTCCTGAGTTCGAGCCCCACGTCGGGATCGCTGCTGTCGGCGCAGAGCCCAGTTCGGATCTTCTGTCTCCCTCTCTCTCTGCCCCTCCCCTGCCCATGCGTGCGCGCTCTCTCTCTCTCTCTCAAAAATAAATCAATATTTTTAAAAATCTAAAAAGGAAAGAAAAGAGTCTAGCCCTGGAAGACAGCAGAGCTGCTGACCTAGGACCCTGGGGGCCACCCTGGAGGAGGTGGGCTCCCAGGTCCCAGGGCTCTCCGGCAGGAGCAGAGCTGCTGGCCTGTGCTGTTGGCAGCAGGGATGACCTCAGGGAGCTCAGGGGACCCAGGGCCTGTGAGCGAGGTGTGGCCCGGGCTCCAGGACATAACAGATGCTTGCACTAAAACGAAGACTTGAACAGACAGGGCCTCATGACCTGATGTCGCCACTTCTGGGTACAGTTAAAACAGCGCAGGCTAGCAACAGCCCGAGTGCCCGCCATCAGCGGTATGTGGCGTTCGCATAAGCCGCGGAACAGAAAGAACGGTAACACGAAAGGGCCCCACCGATACGGGGCCGGGACACGCTGTGGGACCCCGCGCACAGAAGTGGGTGAGGGTCACCTTTGTGGAGGACGGAGAGCATGGTGGGGGGGGAGAAACACCGGCTTCTGGCGCTCGGTCTGGGGGCAGGCCCACGGGCGTGCTCACCGCGTCAATTCACTGGGTCACCCACCTAGGATGTGTGTGCTTTTCTGCACAGGTTACACAGGAAGTTTTCAAAAATTAGAAAGACGCGTTCTGTTCACACACCGAGAGCGCAGGTCTCACTCGGCGAGGGGCAGCCCAGGACGCTTCGCCCTGTTAGCAAGAATCGGGGGCCGCGAACGAGGACGGGCCAAAGGCACGGCTGGAGGGGATACGGGGACATGGCTGCCACCCATCCAGGCCGTGCAGTGTGAGCACTGCCTCTGGCTGAAAGGGAGGGGGCCGGAGGCAGGTGCGCTGAGACCGTCTCCCTCCATCCTCTGGGATCACTTCTCCATTGGCAACTTCCCAGTAGGGAAGACCTATGCCCGACACACAGTAGGTCCAAAGAAAGGGAGAATTCTCCATGCATTCTTCCACCCGCAGCCGCAGCAGCGCCTCGTGCGAGCCAGGGAGGCATCTAGGTGCACGGCCACCCTTCCCCTTCATTCTAGAAGGGGAAGCACCAGCCGGCACGAACACCGTGTTAAGAAGCAAACTTCTAGAGACAAACACTGGGGAGAAGACGGAGGAGTGGAATGGAATGACGGGTGACACCGTAGAGACCGCCAGGGTCCCCGGCATCCACCCTCCCCTTTAGCACTGCAGCCCGTGGCTCACACATGGCTTCCCAGAACAACGGCTGTTCTCTGAGCTTCCCTTGCCACTGGCGGTGGCCCCACGACCAAGCTTTATCCAATCAGAAACGAGCAGTTAATTTAATGAGTTTGTCAATTGCAGGCCAGGCACTTCTCCTTTCCTACTGCCTGGAATAGGGATGTGGTGGCAGGAGCAACAGCAGCCGTCTTACGCCACGAGACGGAAGCCATGGCTTGAGGAGGGAGTTGTAAGAAAAAGCATCTGGGTCCCAGACCCAATGGGCCTGGGCAGCCGGCACGCAGACCTCATGCAATAGGCAGGAGTCATCTTCTGTCTTCTTGTCTGGACCTTTGTTTCAACAGCTAAGACAGAATCCCAATGAATATAAAGAGGTGCTGTTTCGGACCGGGTTGTCAGGGCGATATCTGCACTAGATCTAAATAACTGAGAAGCAACTAGACTTGGAAGAATCCGGACAAAGAGCATACCTGGGAGACAACAATGAACGCCAACGCCACGAGATACACACAGGCTTGGCCTGTCCAAAGGGCAAAAAGCAGGCCAGTGTGGCCGGAGGGGAGATCAGAAAGGCCGGCGGGCCGGTCCCAGGGGACCCTGTGGCCACGTGCAATGCGATTTCATTCTAAATGCAGTGAGGAGGGTGTCACGACGGCTGGTGACGGGGTCCCCTTTCCCTGAGGAGAGGACGGCTGAAGCTGCCGTGGGAAATGGATGGGAGCAGGGGCAGGGCGGGGCCCCGGGAGGGCGGGGCGGCGTGGGGGGACTTGGGATGCCTTGGGGGGGGGCGCCGACCTGACCGGCCCACGGACCCACGGAGGGAACGAGGGAAGAGAGCAAGGATGCGGTGGCTTCTGGCCTGAGCCACTGGCTAACTGGCAACGGCAAGGCCAATGCTGTTCACGTGCTCCCTTCTCCGTGGCTGTCAAGTGCTCTTCCTTCCCAGGCCCCCTTCCCCGGGCCGCAGGCTGAGTCTCAGGCCCCGCAGGCCACTGGCTTCGGGGGCGGGGCGGGGTGGAATGTACCAGGCACCTGAGCAGCGTGCAGGGGTGCCCCGGTCGGATAAAAGGGACAGTGGGGGCAGGGTGCTGAGATTTTTCACGGACGGGGCCAAGGCGGCCACACGTCCCGCAATGTGGGACAGTCCCCAAACGAGCCATCGTCCTTCCCTTTGCCAACAGTGCCCCGAAGGTGGGAGGCTCTGGTCAAAGTCAAGAAGGGCATCCTTCGGGGCGCCTGGGTGGCTTAGTCGGTTGAGCGTCCGGCTTTCGCTTAGGTCATGATCTCGCGGTTCGTGGGTTCGAGCCCCGCGTTGGGCTCTGTGCTGACTGCCAGCTAGGAGCCTGGAGCCTGTTTCAGTCTGTGACTCCCTCTCTCTCTGACCCTCCCTTGTTCACACTGTCTCTCTCTCTTAGAAATAAATAAAAATATTTTTAAAAAAATTAAAAAAACAGAAAAAAAGAAGGGCGTCCTCCTTGCTGGTGGCTAGTTGAGGCCAGGGCACGTGATCGGGGGGAGGGGTGTGCCGCCCCGCCCCCCCAAGACTTCTCGTGACCTGAGATGATGACTTTTTTTTTTAAATATTTTTTTAAAATTTATTTCTAGGAGAGAGGGAGAGGCAGCGTGAGCAGGGGAGGGTCAGAGAGAGAGGGAGATACAGACTCTGAAACAGGCTCCAGGCTCCGAGCTGTCAGCACAGAGCCCGACGCGGGGCTCGAACCCACGAACCGCGAGATCATGACCCAAGCGAAAGTCGGACGCTTAACCGACTAAGCCACCCAGGCGCCCCTGATGATGACTTTTAAGTGACTGCAGTTGAAGGAGGGAGGTTCTGCAGCCCCTCCGCCCCACTCACCACTCCCTGTGGAGCAGATTTCTAGTCTCAGCAGCCCGACACCAGCTCTGGCCGAGGACTCAGGGTGTCGAGCAGCCCAGGGAGGGCCAAGCGCCCGGCAGCCACAGAGAAGCGGAGCGTCCCCTTGTGAAGGGGTGGGGATCCCAGTCCCCAGTGGGGACGAACCGAGGCCAAGGAGCAAGAAGAGCCAGACAGAGAGTCTGAAGAGGGAAGGCGTCTCTTGGTGTTGCCTGTCCAGCACCCCGTTTTCCTGGCGGGGAGCCTCAGTTTCCCCGGTCTCTGTCCAGGAAGTGTCGGTACAGCTGACTCCACCCCTTCACGGCTCAGAGGAACATGCACGGGATCTAAGCCCGGCCGGTCGGGACGCTCCGCTGCCCTGACCAAAGCGAATCTTCCCCAAGACTCTCGCTGTAACCGTAGGAACAGACAGGCTCTCGGCTAAACGCCGTGAGCCAGAGCTGTACCACTTTGACCTTGCACGTGGCTCCCCACCTGAGAGTAGAGCCAGCTTCGAGGAATACAGAGCTGAGAGACGGACGGGAATACAGCCAGGAGACAGAACAGCCTCACGAGAGCCCCTGGATCCAGCCACACCTGAAGTTTGTCCCACCCCTGGACTTTCTGTCGCGTTATAAAGCCAACAAATTCTCTCTCTGCTTAGGTCTGGTTGGGTCTGATTTCTCGAATTTCCTACCCAAAACCTTCACATGTTACGGAGCTGGGCAGATGTGGGTTGCACTTCTGGCCCTGCGATGTCCTTGCTATGTGACCCTGGGTACGTCATTTCTCCTCTCTGAGTGTCACGGGCACAATGATACCCAACAACGTTGCTGTGAGGACCAGACAAGAACAGAGAGGTAAATGCTCACAAGAGGTCACACGAGGTAGCTGCTCCCCCTCGGCCCCTGAGGAGGGCTTTGGGGGGAGTTCCAAGTCCAAGGGCCCCTTTCAAAGCGCCGCTGGCTACGGGGTCTGGAGTCACGAAGAGTATCGGCCGCTCTCCCCCGACCAGGGCCCCTGGACTCGGCCACACAGCACGGAACACTCGCTGAGCCCTCCCAGCCCTGCAAGGGAACGGTTACCCCCAGTGTACAAAGCTCGGGGCCAGCGAGCCCCCTGCCGGGTCCCCATCTCCGGTGCCCAGGCCCGCAAATGGCAACTTGCCCAGCGCCCCTCCCCGGGCCTGGATTCCTCCACCTACAGACGGAGGCTTCGTCTAGAGCTGTGTTTCTCAGACCCGGAGGGCTGCGCCCCTGCGGATTCTGATCCGCGGGACGGGGCCCGGCCGTGACAGTCCTCCTGGCTAACACGGTCCCAGCTGGGGCAGGGCCGCTCCAGACTGCCACTCCGTGCGGACGCTTACGAAGCAGCTGAAGGACTGATGACAGATGAAACGGCGGTGCCTGCTGGAGACACAGGGCTTTACGCGCGCTGGCACGCTTAACTGTCACAGCAGCCTCTCAACCAGAGGGGGCTGTTCGGTACCCATTGTACGGAGGGGGAAAGGAGAGGCACATGGGGTGAGTCACTGGCTCTACGTTCTCCTCCCCCGACCACGGGCGAGCTCCTGGCCTTGGAGGCAGAAGTCTTGGTGGTGACAGAAAAGGAAGGGGGGTCTGCCGGCTCAGGGGGGTCTTCCTCTCCCGGGACGGGGGAGAGGAAGTGGGGGAAGCCGGCTGAGGGCAGGGGGCGTAGGGAGCCCAGCCCGGAGGGACAGCGAGGGCGTTCTCAGAGGACGTCTGGGGTGCTGAGTGACCTCTCCGGACCAGGGAAACTGGGACAGCCTGTTTCTCCCACCTGGGAGGGACTTTCCTGACCTTGTTAAGGTTCCAGAGGCCTCCTTCCCCCTCACCGCTTGGGCCTCCATCCCCTCCCTCCTCTGTGGCCAGCCTACGGGGCAGGACGCCAGGCTGGCTCTAGCCATGCAGTGCCAGACCTGCTATGAGCCCCTGGACGGCATCTTGCCTTCTCTGGGCCTCGGTTTTCCCATCTGTGCATTGGGATTGACCAGGGCTCGATGGAAAACCCTAAGGAAGACAGAAAGCCCTGAGCCAAAGAGAGAGGCTGTACTTCGTAGTTGCTTGAACGCCCCTCAGTGCTTCTGACGCCTGGAGCTTCTAAACCCAGGAACCAAAACAAAATAAGAAGGTTCCAGAGGACAGAGGCCAACTCCTTACCTTTCATTCTTGGGGGTGGGGGGTGGGGAGGTGGACACTGTCCGAGACGCACTGCTAGCAGCCCAGGCAGGAACCCCAGGGGGAAGGGGAGCCCCGGGCCTGTCCCTCATCCTTCAAGGGCCAACCTGATATGGCCCCTGCGTGTGACTCTGCCTGATTCCCTTCCATTCTCTAGCCCCTGGCTTCCACCCTGTTTTTCAAACTGCTAAGCTTCGTCCTACCCCAGGGCCTTGGTGCTTGCTGCTGTCCTGCATCATCACTTCCTCTGAGCGCTCCTGGCCCACCCTGTGTGCTCTTTACAGCAGTGCCTTTGCAGTGGCCCTAGCTGGTGTTTGTGTGTTTACTGGCTGCCCGGCCCAGGCGTGCTCGTGACCCGTCCCCTAGAATAGCGCCTGGCATGCAGTAAGTTCTCAACAAAACTAGACACTGCGGACAGATGAATCTCCACCACGGTGCCGCCGAGCCCTTCTGGGGAGCTGGAGAAGGCTCGCCGGGGAGGACCCCACCGCCCGGCCCTGCTGGAGGCAGGAGGCAAAGTCACCCTGTACCCCCTTCCTCCGGTCCCGGGGAAGCAGTCTCTGACCCCCCCAGACGGTCCCACGTGCGGGGCCCCTTGGCCTAGGTCTCCCCCTACACGGCCTCGAGCCACGGGGTCCCCCAGCCCTGTCCGACGGCCCCCGGGCCCTGGGCAGCCGTGTGAGTGCTCACTCCCCCTCCAGGGGGGCTCGGCCGTCCCATCCAGTCTACGCACCCCCCCCAGCTTCCCCCCCCCCCGTCCCCTGAGTCCTCAACCAGGGGCCCCTGACCCTCTGAGACGTCCCCAAGGGGGTCCTCTGAGGCTGTGCCCTGAGCGGGAAGGGGTCATTCCGGGAGGAAGGGGCGGCGACAGGTGGGCCCCAGGTCCAGCTGTGGGGATGGGGGTGGGGGTCCCGACCGGCTCCCCGCTCTCCCGCAGCTGTCGCGAGGAGTCACCGTGAGCACCCGGGCTCTGGGGGCTCCCGGCCGGAGGGAGGCTGTAGGCGCGTGCGGCGGGGCCGGGAGGCGACCCTGGAGCGGTGGTCGCCGGCGCGGCGGGGGTAGGGGCGCCCAGCCCCGCGGTAGGGCTTCCGGACGCTCCGCGATGGGGTCCCCCTCCAGGTGTGGCGGGAAAGGGGTGAGGGTCGCCTCCTTACCTGCGGGTCCCGGGCCGCGCTCAGGCCCCGCCGCCCGGGCCGCTCATCCACCACGGCAGGGCGCGCAGACCCGGCCAGGCCCGGGACTCCGGCCTCCGGCGCCCCCGGCAGGCGGCGGGGCCAGGGAACGTCGCGCAAGAGCCGGGGGCAGCCGGCTCCGCGGAAATGGGGGATCGGCGGCAAAGGGGAAACGCGGTCGGCGCGCCGGGCCCACCGGCCCCCAGGACACCATGCAGCCCTTCCCGGCAGCGGCGACCAGAAGGCAAGCGCGTCCTTTCCGTGCTGCCAGAACTGCGAAAACAGCCACAGCCCCTACTTATAGCACTCAGGCCCGCCCCCCAGCCCCCAGTAGCCTATAGAAATGGAGCTACATCAAAGAGAGGGCGCAGGCCGCGGCAGAGGCCAATCAGATCTCTAAGAGGCGGAGCGCCCCGCTGACCTCTTAAAGAGACAGCAAAGGGGCATTGCGGGGGAGGGAAGCAGCTCCGGAGCGGGGGAGCTGCTACGTATCTCACCCTGAAAGCCGCCAGGATCGCGGACCCGAGGACTGAGGACGCTGCCACCGCTCGGCCCCTGCGTCTGCCAGCTGTCAGCGGCCGCCAGCAGGCCGCTCGCCCCGGCCAGCCCGACCGTCCAGGGAGGAGCCTCCGTGGACCGCCCCCTCGCGTGCCGCCGCCTGGGGCGCCCCGCAGCGGCCGCCCTGCCCAGTGACCTTTGGTCACCTGGCTGAGGACGGAAGGGTAGGGACAGCCCCTCCCCCGGAACGCCGCGTTTCCACCGCATGCCACGCCGCCTCCACGTCCACCATCAAAGCGCCCTGGCGTTAACGAGCACCATCCGGGTTTCAGGCCCTAATTTTCACAACAACCTTGCAGGGCGGTTATTATTAGCCGCCTTTTCAGAGGAGGAACCTGCGGCTTGGAGACGTTAAATAACTTGCCCAAAGCCATACAACTAGGAAGTGGCAAAGCCAGGACGCCCGGGTTTGAACTGCCCCCTCCTCTCATCTCTAACTTCAACAGCTCTTTTGGCAATCTCCTCTGGGAAGCCCTCCCGGATTGCCCCATCTTTGCCATGTTCACTCCTGGCTCTCCCCAAGCTGGCCCTGCCCCGTCTGGGACCCTCCTGCGTCTGAGTCACCAGCTCCCACCCATCCCCTCCTCGTTCAGCATGTTCAAGCTGCGGCTCTTGCTTTCTGTTTCTATTCCTTAAATATACCAAGTTTGTCCCTGCCTCCCGCTCTCTCTCTCTCTGCATCTGTTCTGTCTGGCGGGCTCCTTGTCACATGACCTCCTTGACACCCGAGCTAAAGTAGCTGTGCAGTGTCTCTCTCACAGTGCCCGTTTATTGCCTTCCGAGCACCGTCCCTCTGACGTGATTAGATTCATTGCCCTGCTTCCTAGTTCATCAGCCACCCTCCACTTAGAATGTCAGTGTCAGGGGGATAAAACCACGTTTGTCACTTTCCTCGCAATATCCTGAGGCTGCCTCAATGCCTGGTGCAAGTTGTAGACACCACTTATCACTGTGCCCTCAGGACACACACCCGGTGACGAGATGGTCACTTCGCAGTTGGGCTGGAAGGAGATGGCGCCCGTTGTTCTGGAACAGGAGAAGCTGACGAAGTCACCCCCTGGTGACCATTTGGGATTCGGTTTGTCTGGGGCTTCCCCAGCCTGGACTGTGGTCGGCGTGCACGCTTTCTGTAGTAGCCAGGAGGGGCTGTGCCTGCCTTCCTGAATGGGCTCTGGGGAGTCCAGGTCAATTCCTAGGGTTGCCTGGAAGCTAGGAACATCCTCACTGCTCACATTTAACTGGCAAAAACAAGTCCTAGGCCACTCCTCACCTCCAGGGAGCAGGAAACTTCCCTCCTCCCGTGTTCCAGGAAAAAGAAATGGATTATCTGCGACCAGGCCAAAACACTACCCTCCATCTTTATCTTTAGGTGTTTTTTTAAAGGCAAAAGTACAGAGTTTCCGGGGCAGGGAGTTTGCCGTTATCACTGCAACACACAATTCTGCCGTCTATACACAGAGTTTTGGGCGTTGCGTGTAAGTTTCTGCAGAATTTCATTGGTGGAATACTTCAGGGTATCTATTTTATGCCCTTGTCTTCAGGGCAGAATCGGTGGCTTGTGCAGTGTGGTATCCCCTACCTACATGACAGAGAGTGGCATCAGTAAAGGTCAAGAAGTGGTAGTGTAACAAAGATGAGACTCTCAAGTTCCATTCCTTGTCCTAAAGGGGGTGCCCGTTCTCTCTAGGCCGTGGCTGCTCCAGACCTGGGATCCCTGAAATCAATGGAAATATAAAAACAACAGGAATCGGGGCGCCTGGGTGGCTCAGTCTGTTGAGTGTCCGACTTCGGCTCAATTCATGATCTCGCAGTTTGTGGGTTCGAGCCCCGTGTCGGGCTCTGTGCTGACAGCTCGGAGCCTGGAGCCTGCTTCAGATTCTGTGTCTTCCTCTCTCTCTGACCCTCTCTTGCTCTCTCTCTCTCTCAGAAATAAATAAAACATTAAAAAAAATAAAAATAAAAAAATAAAAACAACAGGAACTACATGACAGGGCTCGGCTGTCAGAAGCAAAGTCTGTACAATTGTCCTATAACCATCGAGGCCAACGAAGCAGCCTTCCCTGCTGGGAAGGCTGAGCAGATCTCTGGGATGGACAGACTCAGTAGATGGCAGAATGCCCACGATGGTTCCTTGGTCTGTGTGAGGAGAGTTTTCCCAGAGGTCAAGGTCAAGTGAAAGCCCCTGAAACTTGCCTCCTACCCACCTATCTCAGTCAACACAATAAGTTAAAAAAGAAAAAAACAATATCACGTGACAGGGGAAATGCAGAGATTACGCTACCCACCCAGGGATACCTAGGGGATGGACCCCAGCCCACCCCTATTTAATTCATCAGTCTGATCTTTAAAAAATACAGAAAATGGGAGCAGATTGCGACAAATTCAACCAGTTGCAGCCCCAATTACAGCTTCCTTGCAGGTGTCATTGCTCACACTGATCAGCATGGCCTCAGGGACCCAGAGGCTGGCCTTCCCTTTGACCACTCGTATCAAGAACCACTGACATTCCTGGGGAAGAACAGCCATTCACATTTATGGTCTTGCCCCAGGTCAATGGTCACCCTTCTGCCTTTGTCATCTGGTCCGAAGGGCCCTGGGCATCTGGCCATTTGACAGAACATTGCAATGACATCTTCCTAAATCTGGCCGGCTGAACGAGAAGTAACAAGTGAATGAAGACCTCCACGAGGCATATGTGCTTCTGAAGGTGGAAGATAAACCCTGTGAAGACGCGGGGGCTTTGCCACATCCATGGAGTTACCAGAACAACCCTTCCAAAGTAAAGGACAAATGACTGCCTCTTGAACACCCCGTGGCAGGGAAGGAAGTACAATGCGAGAACCCCCCTTTTGGGGTCTGGAGGCGGTATATTCTACCCCTGAGAGTTCTGCTCTGATCCATACGTGTCGGAATGACATAAAAGCTTTTAGCTTTGAGTGAGACTCATAGAAGGAAAGAACTGTGCTCCCATGGACCGCAGGACCCACAAACCCTCTAACATTCGAGGCAAAGATGGTGAGTAAAGATGCTGTGTCAAGTTTACGGCAAGCCCCAGTGGAAAATCCATAATGTACACCCTGGGGGTTCCAGAGCAAGGCCAGGCCACCTACCGCAGAAAATTATACACAAATTCAAAAAGCAATTCCACTAGGCGGCTGGCCCCTGGTGGAGGTAACTAATGAACCGGGCTCTATCAGGCTCACTAAGTGGTAAATTCAGGTGGGCCCCGGCAGACTTTAAGCGATCTGTTGTGATCTACCCCGTCACACCAGCGCCCCTCCCTCCCTCACACCTGTGACCTGTTCAGAGGTCCCTCGGGACCAGGTGGCACAGGAACAAGGCTAAGCTGGATGGGAAACGAGCTGGCTCGTTTCAGATGTCTCACGTGGCCTCTCGCACCTTCTGGTCACTTGCTGTGGGCAACGCCGGCGGCTGTGTTGTGAGATGCCCGCGGAGAGGCCCATCTGGCAGGTAAGTAAGGAGCCCCTTACCGAGAGGCCAGTGTGAAATCGAGTCCTCATCCCACAGTCTGGGAGGAACGGACTCCTGCCACATGAGGCAGCTTGGAGGTGGATCCTTCCCAAGCTGAGCTTTCCCGAGGGTTCCCCACCAGCACCCTGACAGCAGCACTGTGACAGGCCTTGAGGCAGAGCCACCAGGCTAAGCCACAGCCAGATCCCAGACCCCTAGACATTCCATAATACCCGGTCATTGCTTTAAGCTGCTGGATTCCGGGATAATTTGCTATGCAGCCATAGATAACTAACACAGTCCCATCCACCGTCTCTTCTCTGGCTTCTCCCCAGCACCTCCCAGGATCCCATCTCCTCCCCAGAGTCCCTTGCCGGTGCCTCCTACCTGTGAGGGTTTCCCAGGTCCCAGCCCTGGGCCTTCTCACAGCGCCCACTCCCCGGACGGCCCAACTGCTGCAGCTCGGGCTGCGGCCCAAACTCCCCCTGCAGCGCCACACCTGCGGACTGCCTGGCCGCCTGGATGCTCCACTCAGGGCCCATGTTCAACCACACAGCCAGGGGCAAACATCCTCTCTGCCCCCAGGTCTGTCTTCCCCTGAGCTCCCCACCTTGAGGTGGTGTGGCCATCATCCACTTAGTCTCCCAAGCCAGAATCCTGGTGCCATCTTGGATGCCTCCCTTTTGCCTGTCCTCAACACCCCACGGCGACCGATTCTTTCTCCCAAATATCGCTGGATACTTCCAGTCCTTATCATCCCACCCGCACCTGTAAACACTGCGTTCCTTCCAGATGCTTCCTCCCTGCCATGCTCACCCGGGGCGCCCTGCCCTGGCTCGCGCTGCCTGTACCTGGAGAAAGGACAGCAGCCGAGGTCACCAATTTGGTTCGACCCACCACCACCCAGGGGCAGCCTGAGGGCTTCTCCTTTCCCGGGCATCGGGCATCCCAAGCTGTTTGGCCAAAACTACAGAAATGGGTGAAGACCCCCGCTGCGCGTGCTCTCTGCAGTTACAGCTGACGCTCCTTGTGTCTGGACCGTCTGCGCCTCTTTGCTTCCCTCAGTCACAGTAACTCCTGTCACATAAGTCCTGCTACAACATCGGACGTGGCCTCCCACAACCTGGGGCTTGAAGATTTCAGTCTGAGACAGACTCCCTGCGCGTAAGACCTCAGGAATCAGGGCTCTGAGCCTCGGCTGCCCCATCTGTAAAACGTCCACGG